CACGCTGACGGCGTATGCGGCCAAACGGAAGAAGACAGTCTATATTCTTAGCAGCATGCACAGCGTGGTTCAGACTGATAACACCACCAAAAGGAAGCCAAACACTGTCACCCTTTACAACAAAACAAAGTGTGGCGTGGATGTGATGGACCAGATGGTTCGGGAGTACACTGTCCGCAAAGGAACACGGCGCTGGCCAGTCGCCGTGTTTTATAACATGATTGACATGGCAGCACTGAATGCACATGTGCTGTATCAAGCATGCACCGGGACGAAGGAAAGACGGGTGGACTTCCTGGTGGCGCTTGCAACAGAGTTGGCTCGCTCTCATGTAGCTGGGAAGAAGGCAAGAAAAGAACAGTTGCTTCGGACACAACCCTCCACACCTAGCCCTGGAAAAAGAGCCACGTGTCAGGTCAAACACAAATGCAAGAGAAATCAGGCCACTGTGCGATGTGTTCACTGCTACAGATACACATGTGGTAAATGCAGACTACAGATACCATGGCAGTGCCAGGATTGTGAGTGATTGCTGAAAATGTTGAATGTACTCACTCACTTTTTATTATTATTTGTAAATATGTGTACAAATGGTTGGTTTTTTGTACTGTTTTTATCAATAAATCTCAGCAACAAAGGACATACACCCATGTGTGTTGATTTCTCCCTAAGATGGCAAACTGAAACACTCCAAGTTGGTGACTTTTGGAGATTTATTTCCCTGGATGATTGAGAATGCATCAAGATGAAACACAAAAGGAAGTTCACAGCTTTTAGCAGCTCCCCCACCCCCTCAATCACACACCCCCACTCCCCTCCCTCCAGAATTCCCAGGTAACAGCCTAATATACATATGAATGACTAGCCAATTTAGCTTCCACTTCCACCATTTGACTGCTCTCCGGCTTTTAAAGGTAGAAACGCAAAATAATGTTGCTGTGGGGGTTTAAGTGTTGAACAGCAGAAATTGTTTTCTTTTCGGAAGTAAGTAAAAGGAAAAAAAACAGCAGCCAAAAACGGTAGACCTGTGCGTAACAAGCAAGCGAATAATGCAGAAAACAGATTTTTAGACAGGAAACTGTTCTTGAAGTACACAGAGAGCTAGAGCTGTGCATGAAGTATGGATTTTTTTTATCGTGTTGGAAGCAAAACAGCAAAAGTACGAGGGAATTCATGACGATGTTTATGTGAAGCGTAGTTTGGATCTGCTTTTGCTGCTGGTTCAGTCAATATAGTTTGGAGAGAGATAAAACTAACAGCTTTAGAATCAGCGCAAAAAGGGCGTAAACACAAAGCGCGGACCCGCCGAAACATCAGAATCAGCGAGCTGTCGGCTTTCAGCCCCGACCGTGTCCGTGCCGTCGGGTGAGAAAGGCGGCATCTCAACACAAGGTGGCCCCACTGAGCAGTTTGACTCGGTGAAGAGCGGCTATCGAACTGAGGGATGACTATGATGACAGCAGCTATATGTGCAGGCGGGGCCGTGCGCATGTCATCACACATCATCTGCCTTAAAGGCGTGAATAAAGGTTTCTTCAGCCAAGACACACGAGGGCATGATATCCCATACTTATGTGTTTCACCTCGTTCCTCTCCTTCAGGGAACAGAAGTTATAGACATAACTATTTGTTTTCTTTTAATCAGTTACTTTACAAGCATTGGGGTTTTCATGTGAGAAGTGATAACTGTACTGTGTGTGGTTTCCAAACCCATTTCTTTGATGTTTTATTTGTCTTTGGTTACACCTAGTTACTCAGGTTTGCATATGTTGCTGTATTTCCCTTATGGTAGGTTCAGTTTTCTTTTCGTCAGGTTTGATTTTGCAGCATCTGATCTGAATAGGAGACCAGTGAGGTTCTTGTTTTCACTTTGGCATGACAGATTGTGGAGGTAGACACAATGTTTTGGGAACATTTGGAAACTTACCAGAGGATAGGTTTCAGTTGCTATACCAGTACTGATGTTTTTAGCCCTGTCCTCAGTACTGCAGCAACACAAAATTTCATGAAAAGGAAATTAAACACACTAAATTCTGCTAGTCATGGTAGTGCTACGAAGCCCTTTTGATTACACAAACCAGGTCTGAATTCTCATAGAAAAAAAATATGAAAAATCTTCTTTTTTTTTTTAAAATCTCTGTAGAATACAAAGTAGCTTGATCTTGGAGTCATTATATATTCTTTTCTTTCCTGTGGATAGAAAAGATATTCATATATAGACCTTTTTTGTCATGTGTGGTAGCGTTTACACTCAGAATCAGGATCTGAATGCACTGTTGTGCCAGGTGTATTTGCTGTTCCAAGATGAGCACTATAGACTTGCTATAGGTTCTTTGCGTTTTTTGTTTTTTTTTATATATTGGTCTTTTTTACAGTTGAGCTGAAGGAACCTCCCACTGGAAACACTTGACCAGCAGGTTGTGCGGGGGATGTGATGTGTTGTTCAGTATGATCAGGAATTTAGGCTACTTCCTTGATTCAATAATTCACTCTAGGAGCTTCAGAGTAGCTAAGCTGAGTCCCATTGTATCGCGCTCCGAATTAGAAATTGTCATTCATGCATTTGTTTCATCTCGTCTGGACTACTGTAATTCTTTGTTTACTTGTTTATGTAAAGCCTCTTTGGAGCGTCTGCAAGTTGTTCAGAACGCTGCTGCAAAGCTTCTGACCAAGTCCTCCAAGTTTTCCCATGTCACACCCCTGCTGATTCAGCTGCACTGACTCCCCGTTAAATTCAGGATCCAGTTTAAGGTTTTGACCTTGACTTTCAGGGCCCTGCATGGACAAGCACCAACATATATAAGTGAACTTTTGCATCCATACATTCCCAGCAGGTCCCTGAGGTCATGTGACCAGGGCTTGCTTGCTGTCCAGCACACGAGGCTGAAAACAAAAGGCGACAAAGATTTTGGAACTGTGGCCCCCAGATTGTGGAACTCTCTCCCTTTGAGCCTGAGATCTGTGGACTCAGTGGTCGCTTTTAAAAAAACAGCTAAAAACCCATCTTTTTAAACTTGGTTTTAGTTGATTTTTATTTTTAGGTTTTAGCTTCTGTGAAGCACTTTGTGATTTTTATCTTGAAAGGTGCTATATAAATAAAGTTTTACTTACTTTACTTACTTACTTAGTCCCCAGCACAAAGCCTTCCTACTCACCTTGTTCAGCCTCCAACTGTCACTGGCTGTGATGCTGCTTCTCCAAAAGATAGCTAGCCACAAAGAAAATGGTAACACTGTTAGTAAAAATGTGTTCTTGTTTGCACATTAAAGACCTTACCTTCCTTAAAAAGTAGACTGTGCTCTGTCTTTTCATGCAGACAGCTTAATGCCTAGTGTTCCAGTCTAAATCCAGGTATTTATAGCTTGTGCTTGGTCCATAGTGTTAACATCTTTACATCTTTCACTAGATAGTAATGGTTTTTAATTTAAACCTGGCCCTGCTACATTTCTTTCTCCTTTATCTTCATCATCTGCATCTAATTCAGTGGTTTCTTTCTTTGCTAGGTTCCCCCTTTGTTTTACAAGAAAATTCCCCCCGGCACAAACACGTCCTCTAACCCCACACACACACACACACACACACACACACACACACACACCCACCCACCCATATATTGTTTTCAAACTCCATTTCAGTTTATTTCACACCTCAAACATTTAGTAATAAAAGTAAACTGCAATAAATTACAGGTAGCAATAAAATAAACTACTAACTCTTTTACGCTACATCCACACCTACATGGGTATTTTTCATAAAGAGGCTGATAAAGCATGCGTTTGACCCGTCGTCCACACATAATAACTCCTGTCAAGTTGGAGATTTTCGAAAACTCAGTTTTTGCGGAGTGCGCACTCCAATCTTTTCCGGCTGAGGGGCTCAGAGTAGAGCTGCTGCTCCTCCACATCGAAAGGAGCCAGTTGAGGTGGTTCAGGCATCTGATAAGGATGCCCCCAGGCGCCTCCTGGGTGAGGTTTTCCCAGACATGTCCCACTGTGAGGAGGCCCCGGGGCAGACCCAGGACACGCTGGACAGATTATATCTCTCGGCTGGCCTGGGAACGCAGGGCCGGATAAGCTGGAGGAGGTGGCTGGGGAGAGGGAGGTCTGGGCTTCTCTGCTTGGGCTGCTGCCCCTGCGACCTGACCCTGGATAAGCGGAAGAAAATGGATGGATGTTAAATGTTCAATCTAAATATTATATTTAAATGTTACAGGAAACTAAATATTTAGCTAACATGCAAATTTATTGTATGGCTCAACGGAAATACCAAAATAAAAGCTTTATGAAAAATTCCAGTGCAAAAGAGTGCCGGTAGTGGTCAGATTTTGTCTGCTTTCCAATGATGGTCACTTCTCACTGCCATGAGCTGCCTCACTTCTTGTCTACCAGGACGTCCAGTGATTTAGCTGAAAAGATCCGTTTTGTCAGCCATCCAAAGGTTCAGCAGTAATGGACTCTCGGCAGCTGCAGTCTCCACTTCACAATCACTGCAGCAAATGTCCAGCCAAAATCGCTGGACATGTTCATGCTAAATGTTGTGAAAAATGACTCAAAAAACATGTTTTTGTAAGGTTTTGAGTTAAATGTGGAAAAATGTTGTCGTTGATTTCAGCATGTTTCACTTTACAAATGGCGCCCCACATACCTTGGCACTTGTGCAGGTGAAGCCAAAGGCAAGATATGTTTCATCAAATTTTCTAGTCTTTGACTTGGAAGAAAGTTGGTTTGGAAACATATTTGGCGATGCTTCATCTGCTTTGCGTTTGTGTGGAGCCCTGTCAAATACCGGTCCATTACGTGAACAGTGTCCATGAGTTTGGTTTTTTTTTCTTTTTTTTTAATTCATACCCCAGGTGCCTCACACTTTAGGAACATCTGATCACACCCTGTTGAATAAACACATTTAAAATGCACATCTCATTTATTTCTCTAGGTTAAGAACCTCTAGATTTGTCATTTGTCTTTGCCTTTTTTCCCATCATCTGATGTCCTCTTCACCAGGTTATGAGCGGGAGCTCACCTTTCAGAGAGGAGATGGCTCCTTTAGCGCCTTTGGAGAGCAGGACTCATCTGGAAGCACCTGGTATGTGATAAATACAAATGTCTGTCTAAAAGAAAACATCAGTAACATGCTCATATAACTGAAAAACTCAGGAAAACTAATAGCAGATAGTCTCTTTGCACAGGCTCTCTGCTTTTGTGCTGAGGTGTTTCCTGCAGGCACGGCCCTTCATCAACATTGATTCCAACGTGCTGCACAGTGTGGCAGCTTGGATCGCCAGCCAGCAAGGGCATGATGGGAGTTTCTTGGAGCCCGGCAGGGTGATCCACACCGAGCTCCAGGGAGGTCTGGACGGGCCTGTTTCTCTCACGGCCTACGTCCTCATCGCCCTGCTGGAAGACGCTAGCGTCAAGGTGAGATGCCATTGTTTAGGCACAGTTTCCAGGGACATTTTGAGAGATTAGTGTGGGTCTGCCTCTCAGACTGAAACATGGGGAGCAATTTTATATTCAGCTTTTCCTTTGCTGAGTTAGAAATATTTTTAATATTTAATACTTATTTTAGTTTTATTTATTTGATTTTTGATTGGCTTTTAACTCCTTAAGATTATTTTTCTGTCATACCTATTTTATTGAGCTATGTGTCTCCTTATTTAAGTTCCTTTTTATATATTTTCTGTTTATTATGGTAACTTTTAACTGTAGTTACAAAATAATTGCTGAACTTTAGGATAAACAAAATATTTATTGTGTTAACTTGTGACACATGTTTGGGTGGTGACTCATATTTTGAAGTCAAAACTTTCCATCTGCAGTCATTTGGAAGCAGCAAGCACATAACAGAGCAGGCATAAATGGAGAAGATATGCCACAGAAGTCTTAAAAGCATAAAAACAATGACCTGGGGTGGAGATGGGTTGCAAAGTGCCTTGCAGAGTGGCTTGCAGATGCAGTAGACAGGCTGTAATGGACAGGCTGAAGAAGCTTAAACAGTGTTCACTTTATAAGAGTTACCAAGTAGACGTACAAAAAAACTTCTTGTGCATTTTAATTATCTAGGCTTCTGTAGTATTTTTAATGTAAAAATCAATTTAAAAACCAAAACTGACCATGCCTTATGGTTATTATCATTAACCAATTGATAAAGAGAAAGTCTCTGTTTTCTTCACATTCATGGGTAAGATCTAATTTGGCCTGACATTGTTACATGTGCCTGTACCAACCTGTCGTCTCACCTACTGCTGCCCTATTCCATATCTGTCAGGCTCTGTATGAGACCAAGGTGTCTGCAGCCGTGATGTACCTGGAGACCCAGCTTGCTCTTGGTGTCTCCAGCAACTACAGCCTCAGTCTACTCACCTACGCTCTGGCTTTGGCAGGGAGCTCCAAAGCCCAATCAGCACTCAATAATCTGACTGGACGAGCTGAGATAAGAGGTACAACAGCAGCTGTGTCTTAAAAGCCAGTTTAACATTTGGGGGACATAAGCTTTCTCTGGGGGTTGTTATAACTTTATGCACCTCATTCTGATAGTTTCATGCAAATCTACATTGTTTGATTGTGAACAGAACTGTTACATTCAGTTAAAAACATTTTTGGATCATACAGTGGTTTTACTTGAAGAATGGTGTCCTTTAGTCTTTGTATGATTAATTAGTCTGTATAATAAAAATCACTATTATAAATAAGTATTTCTTATTTTGAAAAGTTCATAGCTAAAAAACTCTGTTGTAATGGTAATGTTGCAGACAGCTAGACAGGACCAAGCTCCAACCTCCAGGTCAGTTTGGTAAGGCCTAGAAAACAAGCCTGTCCCTATGCCTCGCCTCTGGTAATTTTAGTGACTGAATCGGATGTTGTTTCTTTTATTGGTGTCTTTCTCAGCATTTTAATTGAATTATCTGAGAGTTAGCATGGCTGGAAAAATAATCCACTTCTTGGCTTTGACTTTTAGCTATTTGTGGGTGTCTTTACCCCAGATATTTTTTGATCATCTTGCTTCTCTTTTTAAAAATAAATCATCTGAATTATGCCCTGTCTTTCTGTGAGCAGACGGTGTGCCGATGTGGTTCTCCCTGGATGACGGCCTGTCCTCATCGTGGCAACCTCGTTCTTCTGACATTGAGATGGCGTCCTACGTGCTGCTGTCTCATTACAAGCTGAACTCAATCCCAGAGGGTCTGAACCTAATGAAGTGGCTCAGCCAGCAAAGAAACCACAGAGGAGGATTTGGAAGCACTCAGGTCAGATCTTAACTCCAAACAGAAGTACATGAATGTAATCTTCAAATTATTACGATTGTACCAATGATTGTACCAATCCTTAAAAAAATTTTTTTCACGTCATTATAGAAATAGGGGTGACATGGGTCGCGAGATTGAGACACAGGCATTAGAGTCTCTTCATGCGTGTTTTTTTTAATTTTATTTTTTTATTTTTTTTTATTGGTTTTTCACGTGGAATTACCAAAAATAGAGAGGGTATAGCCTAACATTTGAAACAGGAAAAGACCGCCGTGTAATCAATTTATTTCAACAAAGTAACTGTATTTTAAACATCACCTTTTTAAACGGTAACTGTAACGCAATACAGTTACTCATATTTTGTATTTTAAATACGTAACGCTGGTACATGTATTCTGTTACTATATATATTTTTTCATTCCCCACTCACCTCTGTGGACGGTTAATCCCTCAAGATCGGGTCCTCTACCAGAGGCCTGGGAGCTGTCCTCCATGTCTGCAATGTTGCCCTCTGGTAGTTCGATCCCCTCAGTTCTGACTACCTTCCCTCTCTTTGTTATCATCTGACTACACTTGTCAAAAACTACATGTGTCAAAAAGCAGAGCTCATGCAGAACTTAATGCATTGTGTTTATCTGTGCCATGGAGCTCTATCATTATCCAAAAATGATTAAAAAGACATCAGTGGACAGGGCTGCCCTGCTCCTTTAACACCATAAACAGACTAATTGTAGTTTATTTAGATTCAATCCACCTTCCTGCTGGCCCGAATTGTCACTGGAGCCACAAATGTTGGCATACATTACTGACTGTGATTGTCTTCTTTCCAAATCTCTGCAGTGGAGCTTGGGAGAGTAAAGTTCGCCTGAGCCACAGGGACACAATAACCACATGATAACTACAGACATGCGAGGATGAAATAAACCAGAACAAAGACGTCAGGGGGAAAAAAAGTTACACAGGCTTTTGATTTCTGCATCATCTTCTTTTTAACACCAACAAAACATAAAACAGACTTGTTGGCCCTGTCAACTCTAAATACTGGACTTTTTCTCTACTGATTAAACAGGATTCATGTTTAAAAAAAAAAAAAGTCCCCAACTGTGGTTATATGTCACATCAGAGGGCAACTGTGGCCGTCTGGGTATGTAGTGACTAAAGACTTATTAACCTCTTAGCACACATGGCCACTCGTACATGCAGAACATGCGAGGCAGATGGGGAAACTGCCAGTAGATCCGAATACAGCACAGTGAGTAAAGCCCAGTGAGGCATTGTCTGGCGAAGATTTTCTCTAAAACAGATGCACAGACATGTGCTGAATAGCAGACTCCCATCCTCAGCTGTAAACAGGAAATCAGCAATGAATATCAAAGCAAAGGATCATCAGGGATTGAAATCCCCCATATCACAGACACATTTGCTTACGTGTACCATGTGACCGCGAGTCTCGTTTTTTCTTTCAGGACACAGTTGTGGCTCTCCAGGCTTTGTCTATGTTCGCGGCTCGCATTGGGTCGCACGACACTGACGTCACAATCAGGGTGGACATCGACCCTTCGACCACTGTCGCCTCCTTCCAAATCAACAACGAGAACTACCTGCTCCATCAGAGCCAACAGGTACACAGATGAGCCAGCGTTTTCGGAAAACAGCGGCTGAAGTATTATCCAGCAATATTTGTGGGAATGAGTCAGATATCGGCTGGTTATTGAAGGCTGTCAGCAACTGATCAGAGCAGCGTTCATGGAACAGTGAAACAAATGATTACATCCAGCATGTAATATTATACAGATAATTCAGCTCTGTCATATTCCCTCATATTGAAAGGAAAAACGTGGAACTATATTATATTTCCTAAAAATGCCCTAAAAGATTTACTGCTTGGTGTGAGTCAGTCTTCTAAAAGGAGTTGCCTACTCCTTTTAGTCCAGTTAAGGACTTAATTTAGTTTTTAACAGTTGTTTAGTGCACAGCAATAAAATCTGCAATAATCTGTCAATAAAAACATAGAGATTGTTTTTTATGCTTTAGATTACTCCAGAAGAAAGTTTAATCCTGCAGGTGACAGCAGAAGGTCGTGGACTCGCCTTGTTTCAGGTAACAGGACATGTCACTCATGTAACAGCACCTCCTGCTGGTCTGTGTTCAGTCTGCTGAATGGTATAATAGTAAGAACAATAGTTGTTCAGATTATGTCAAAAACAAAGCCACTTAAATTGTGGTAGTTAAAAAGTTAAAGAACAGAAGCACATATGTCAGACTGCCCACTGGGTCAATGCTGCAGAAAGCTTTAGTGAAATTCTGCAGAAGCTACTTACAGCAAGTACTTTTAACTAAAGAAACAATAAAGAAGCTGCATTTTTCCCTTAAACCTCTGCGTGATTCTCATTCTTATTCTGTAAATTTGGTTCTTCTCTTCCTTCAGCTTAACGTTTTCTACAACGTCAGGAACGAGGAGATGAGGAGAAGGAGGCGAGAAGCTGGCGAACAGGAAGCGTTTGAGCTGTACGTCGAGCTGGTCGACAGCGAAGAAAACTCTGCACATCTGTACATCTGCACCAGGTGAGCGGGTCGGCATCTGTTTCTTCACATGCCAACAGCTTGATGCAACAGATTCATCAGCACAGCAATCAGCAGGATGTGTGAGAAGCGTTTCCAGCGATCATCGTCTGTTTACAAACAATAAAACATAATCAGCCAAAAACACCAGATGTCAGTTTGACAACAGACCCGAGAAAAACTGAAACATTTGCTAGAAATAACCTTTTTGTAACCAATACATCTCCAAATATATTTATTCACTTTTGGAAAGTGCCTAAAACAATACACAGATAACTTCTAATCACTGTGGTTATTTGGTCTTTGCTCTGACAAGTTTGCTGAAACATTTAAATTAATTTCTGTTCATCAAGAAATTATTTTTTATTGCTCCTTTTTAAATGAATGTATCATTGTCGGTAAATTTCACCCTAATTATGTTTATACTCTTGAGAAAGTTCCAAAGATAAATAAAGAAGTACTTTATAGCAATTAAATGTATTATTTTAATTTACAAGAAACTTAATACAGGCTAAGAGTCAAATAAAATTTGATTTGATTAGAATAACATTTTGAATATCATTTAAATGTTTTTTTTCTTTTCCTTTGTGTGGTGTTGCGGTCCTCTGCAGGCTGGTGTATGGTCTGGGCCTGAGTGCAACGGGAATGGCCATCATGGAGGTGGGGCTGCTGAGTGGCTTCAGTCTGTCGCCGGTTGGCATCGAGACTAACGACGCTGTAAAGAAAGTGGAGACGCAGCTGGGAAAAGTCATCCTGTACCTGGACTCAGTGAGCGGCTCACAAACACTGATGTGTCTGAGTGTAAATACTGAAGCTTAAGTTATAAATTTATTTCCAGGTGACAACGCTGGAGATGTGTGTCCAGATTCCTCTGATTATTGAGTATAAAGTTGCCAAAGTCCAGGAAACTACGGTCGTCATCTATGATTACTACGAACCAAGTAAGACTTCGCTCATATGCTTATATTAATGGATAATCATTTTACTCTCCCCTGCAAATACTGTGTTTTGCCCAATAAAATCAAAGAACTCTTATTTAAAATGATATATAGTTATAACACAAAAGACAAAGTGTTGTTGTAACAACATGGTGGAAACTCTCTCAAACGTATTCATTCGTTGTATACATGTGACATTGTTTCAGACTGAGAATGAATTGAGGTGCAAACTGTTTTAACTCTTTCCCTTATAAACCAGCTCTATTCTGATTAGTTGTCCGCCGTTAATGGAAACTGGGAGTGGGGGGCTTCTGTGCAACTAGCCAAAGCAGTGTGACAGGGATGACTGTATTATCTTAACAACATCATAAATAGCAGAAAGTAGAAAAAATTGCCTGAAACAGAGCATTTAGAGCAGTCTGAAGGCTGAGCTGGATCCTATGGCTCACAGAGATCACTTCTGTGTGTACTCAGCTCATTCTATGAAGCTTATATGAAGACCACATTCAAGTTCATGAACAAATAACAATTAAACAGTATACTGTTTGCACAGGGACACAGTTGTTATCATTTTTCCCTGAAAACGAGGGACTGTATAAAACAATGTAATTCCTAAACAGTTAATGCAATATTGTAATTAAGCTCATTAAAGTCAAAGTGAAAATCAGCACTTTAACCTCACTGACGCTGTTTGATCCACTGTGGTAGTAAACGGAAGCAAAATGACACAATAAAATGCACGATTGTGTAGAAACATATGGACCTAAAGCAGAACATGTCCACTTTTATTTTTTCACTGTCAGTTTTGATGTTTTTATAATCTTGTATATGGGGAAAATGCATGCAGTATGATCCAAACCAGGACAGCCTGTCATGTCCATGTAAACACACCGAGGACCTCCACTGACGTTTTATGAGTTTTTTATGCTTTTGTTTAGCAAGAGTTTAGCACTGTGTGTTCACCCAATCACGCGAAAAACCTGTGATTAAACAAAATGTATTGGCCTGAATGATTGCTACAAGCCTTTTTCTCTAGAACAGGGGCGTCAAACATAAGGCCCCAGGGCCATAATGGGCCTGGCAAAGACTCCAATCCGGCCTGGATCAGGAAATCTGGAAAATTTGAAGGAGTGCACACATTTTTGAAGTTTTAATTGTATTTTAAAGCTTTTCCTATTGATGACCCCCCTCGCTCCCATTGCCCATCACTCTACACTAGGGGTGTGAAACTCCAGGCCTTAACGGCTGGTGTCCTGCAAGTGTTAGATGTTTCCTTGATCCAACACAGCTGATTTAAATGGCTAAATTACCTCCTCAACATCTCTTGAAGTTCTCCAAAGGCCTGGTAATGAACTAATCATTTGATTTAGGTATGTTGACCCTGGGTGATATCTAAAACTTGCAGGACACCGGCCCTTGAGGCCTGGAGTTGGACACCTATGCTCTACACCAAAACAAATAAGTAATAGATGAACAATTAAATGACAGAAAGTTCTACATTTTTAATGTCTAAAAATGTACACTTTTATACACTGGATTCAGAAAGAAAAAGGAAGAAATTTTCTTTGAATGAACCAAAAATGTGTATTTTATAATAATTATAGGACAGTCTGGGTAATGAACCAACTTTCTCTGTAATTTCACACACTTATCGTGTAGTTTTGCTGCTCCAGCCAACTTGAGATAAAAGAGTTTTGAGTTTGACATTACTGCTTGTGAGGTAATGAAAAAACATTTACATTTTAATTTAATAATACATTTTTACATGTTTTGTGACAAAACAATAAATTGGGTATCAAAATAAGGTTTAAAAATGTAAAAAGCAGAAGTATATAAGAATGATTTTCAGTTTAAAATATACTGCAAAACTGAAAATTCACTGATAGCCGCCAAACTTTACAGTTACAGTGGTCCCTCGCTATAACGTGGTTCACCTTTGCGGCCATGCTGTTTTGCAGATTTTTGGGGGGCAATTTTGCATGCTTTCATTTATTTGTTTATTTATTTTACAGTGCATTTTGTTCTGCGTCCTGATCGGTTGTAGACCGTTGTCAGTCAATCTTGTGCCGTGGTCCTGTACAGTACAGAAT